GAGGCTTTCTACTCCTGTAAAGATTTGCAGCCTTGAAAACCAGATACAGAGCCACTGAATCAGAATTGACTCTCTGGCAGTGGGTAAGGCTTGCTATATCAAGCACTCATTTTTTAAAGAAGTAACTACATAATCAAAATAATTGAGCGACGAAAAGTGTACAGAAATGTCTTTATTTGCTGAGTCACACTGAAATTTTCTGTCAGTCTGGATTTTATAATGGCTGAAATAAAATGTATTTTTGAAATACGAATTTTCATAGTAATGAATATGATGTTTGACATTGACTCACAGTTTCAACCCTGAAACTTTTATTTAGTAAAATTACAAGCACATCTAGTAGACATTTCCTCAATATAACTTTTTTTTTTTTTAAGTTTTTATTGTGAATTGAATGATAGTTTACATGGGGGAGGAGAGCATCAGCTTTACTTTCATCCTGTCGTTTTTTCATTTCATTGCAATGATTATAATCCCCTCCATGCATCATCATTCAACAGCATTTTCTTCCAGTCCCTCTGGTTTTTTTGTTTGTTTGTTTTGGATGTACACCGAAACACTCAGGAATATATAACCATTCAGACAACCAAAAGGCATACCCTACACGCCAGTCTCCTAGCTGCCAGCACACAAACCCCTCTCCGTCCTTGAGTCTAGAATCTCGAACTTCTCCATCTCTTCACCTCATCGTCTCTGCTTCTATCTCTGGCGTCACTGCTTCTCTGGATAGGGTCCTGCACTCTGCTATTCTCCCTTGATGGTCCCAGGGTCCTCAGTTCCTGGACTGCAGGATCAACCACTCCCCTCTTTTTTGTCACAGAACCTTTACATTTGCAACATTCACAATCAGTCCTGATAGCTATTATTCACTATTGAACCACAAGAGTCTTAGCCCCATCTTCTTTGACCAGTTCCATCTAGACAGGTTGGAAACCATTCAGTGGAAATTCTACCTTCCCACTGCACCCTCTGAAACTAGGCTCCCTCATGAAAACTTGTAAGCCAGCCACTTAGTGCCTTTGTTGCCCACCCTCATTTTGGGTAGCCAATGTCTAAGTTGCCCATCCCTGTCAACCCTGTGTACAGAGGAGGTAGGAATGATCCTTGCTGTAAAGATTTGTTCCTTCTTTTAAGCTACTACTATCCATAAGTATAGGTCAAGTTCATCAAACTATAGTGGATTATACATTTTTTCCTCTTCTTTCTTCCTCTAGTCAAGTTCTGATTATCCAGCCATTGAAGCCAGGTCAAGTAGGTACTGTCTGCAAGTATGGGTGTTCTTGTGCGTCTCCCCTCACTTCATATCAGCTGGAAACTTCACTCTTCGCTGTAGTCCTCTGTGACTATGTCCCTGTTCATGGGCTCAGGAATCCCCAGGTCTTCCTATACTGCTAGCTAACCAGGTTGCGATCCAGGTTGACAGGAGTCTGTTGAACGTGGTCAGACTTAGCTCACAGCTTCATTGCTGTTTTCCCTCCACTTCCAAATATTGGTAGACCAACTTGGTCATCAGCAAGATTACATGCCTGTTTGTCTATTCCCTTTGAGTTTCAGTCTTGGAAAGGGGTTC